TGACTATTACTGCAGATCTTGTCTAATGTAAGGAACCACTTCAATCCACATCTTAAGAAAGCAGAACTTTTGGAAACAATCTCTTCCAACAGGAACTTTTATTAAGAGAAATTGATAGTAGGCATAATAGAGAGGATCTGAGGGATTTCCTTACAAATCAATGTTTTAAAGTGTCCCTAAGCAACCCCCACCCCACAGTTCTTCCAGGCGATTCAAACCGGCAGATTTCTAGGAAAAATAAGATCAATCCGGCTCTGTTGTACACGATCATTCAACAGCTCCTCACACCTTATTTTGATGACGGCTAAATAAACCAGATTCCGGAGGCTGTATCTTTTCATCCCCTCTTTCCCTAGCTGGCCGGTAAGGAGGAGAAGTTCAGAGGGGCATAGGATAAAAGGCTAATGGTTACATTGTGATGGTTAGCAGACCCGAGGCGAATAAACAAAAAGTTACTTTGTAGTGAATAGAGGAAGTGAAAGTAATAAAATCCTCATGCATACTCCCCCTCCCTCTTAGGAGTATGGAAGGATTCAGGAGAGGGTAAGAATTGGTTTTAGATCAGAGGAGATAGATAGAAAGGAAATATAACTGGATCCTGACACTAGGGCTACTCATTGCTCCCTCGCTAGTTGTTGTTGAGTAAATGAGAGTGTACTATTAATGCCATCAGTTTCTACTGCATGAAATAGAGAATATCAATCTAATAAAGGATATCAATAGTAGTATGACAAAACCTAGTACTAGTTGCATTAGCTCACTTTTTCTTTTGTCTTCTATAGATAGACATTCTTATTGCAAAACACCTCAGAGAAATACCTAGTATATTTTGTCTATTTATTGTCTATTTACCGAGACTCCTCTCATATTAAAATAAACTGCACATTTATGGAGGCTCTTTTGAAAATAAGGCATTTTAGTGTTTTTGCCAATACATAAAATTAATGAATAAATTTCCTCAAGACAGTATCAGTTGTGTAAATCTGCTTCAGAAAACCCAAAACTTAAGCTCTCTGCCTCTTCTTCCCATGAATCCATGCACCATTTCAACAACATTTGAAAATTAAATTGTAAAATGTGCAAACACTCTTACAAAAAGGAAATTGCTATCTTTTTGAAGATCTAAATAAAGTTAGATGACTTTAGTTTTTTTCCCCAGGCCTATTGTGGCTCCTAGTTCTGTAAACTGCATTGAAAACAAACATAATGCTTCAGAAAGATAATACTCTTTCAAGAAAGAGTGAGATAAAAGTTCACTTTTACTCATTAATGTCAACAGAAAATGCCAAGCTACCAAAGGACACATCATAAAGCTACACAGCTACAGAGACTGACAGGCGAAAATCCATGGCCAGATTGCTCTGCCAGAACAATAGCTGCACTTCATCCTAAATGATGAATTCCATTTTCAAGTTCTAAATTATTTTCCTTTGGGAAAAAATACTATAGACTATTTTAGAATACCTAAAGAAAGATATTCATGAAGATTGAGGTATTACTTAAAAGACAATGTTAGAAATATGTTGAATGTTTTGTAATATTTGGATCATCATCATCATCATCATCATCATCATCATCATCATCATCATCATCATCATCATCATCATCATCACAACAACAAGAACAACACCCCGGATTTAACAATTGTCGATAATAAAGACAAAAAAAATCTGGATAGTGGACATGGCAGTGCCTGGAGACAGCAGAATAGACGAGAAAGAACTGGGGAAGATAACAAAATACAAAAACCTACAAATAGAAATAGAAAGACTGTGGCAAAAGCAAGCAAGGGTAGTACCAATAGTAATAGGCGCCTTGGGTGCAATCCCAAAAACAACTGGAGCACCACTTCAACACCATTGGCATTGACAAATTCGCTATTAGTCAATTCCAAAAGGCGGCCATACTAGGAACTGCTTCCATCCTGTGACGATATCTGTAATACCATCAAACATCCACATCTGCCTATCCCAGGTCCTTGGTAAGGACTTGATAGGTAAACAAAAATGCCAAATCCAGTCTGAACATCTGGCTGACTGTGCGATGATTAATAATAATAATAATAATAATAATAATAATAATAATAATAATAATAATAATAATAATAATAATAATAATAATAATAATAATAGTTTTCCTAGAAGCAGATAAAGACTTGATAATTGGACTTTCTTGATCAAGATATTAGAAAATATGAATTCTGGAGAGAACTTTATAAAATTAATAAGATCTATTTACACTTCACAGAAAGATGAAATAATTGTTATTTTGGAATTAGGAGGATACAACCTGAGATTTGGAAGACATGGATATTTATGGTAGGATGAAATCAAGGTTAATGTGGATTTTAAAAAGAATTATGTGAGATGTGCCAAACAGTCCTTGAATTGTGACTACAATTGGTTCCAGAATTGTAGTCAGATGTCATGATGGTCATCAATTGAGATGCCCACATGATCACCTTGCTCAATAACCTCAATCCCTGTTCTCATTGTTTTCTGTCCATTTAATGAGCAAAGGCAAACATTAAGCAACATAATTGATTTTTAGATATTCAATATTTCTGGGAGACATCAAGTTGGACAAGCCTGTTTTTTTCCACTTTATATTGGAATCAACATAGTGGGTATTAAACAGATAAATTCCTATCTAAAAAAATGTTTTCAAATAGACTAGAAGGTTCTCACAGTTAGAAGTATGCTGAACCTTAATAAGAACCTGAAGGGGCCCATGAGAAACACTTACAAAGTAGATGATTGTGTTGCTCTGCTAATGTTTGTTTAAATATGTTAACAATAGCTACTTTGGTGGAGCTGCAAATAGCTTCTAATTCTGCTTGCTTTGCTATTTCCCACTGGAACCCTAGTAATGGTGGCGAGGGTTGAGCTGTAGGCCCGAAACCAGAGGAACATAAAATGAATTGTTGCCTCAACATCTAGAACTGGTTCATTTTGAAACAACAGTCCTTGCTTTGTCTCTTCTTCATTGCTTGCTAGATCAACTTTTTCTTTTAGTTATTTTCAAAATATCTAAGTTGTTATGCTAATGCTATTAGAGGCTCAAAGTATCAACTGAATTTGGTAAAGTCAAGTCTATAGCAATGAGGCCATCATTAAAGCTTCCTGGCACTTAACTATCTCAACAGAAGTGCCAAAAACATTAATGTCACAATGCAAAAATTAAAAACTGCACATTCTTTTTCTCTACTATATTCTGTCAAGACTGATTCACCCTTTCACCTACATTTTCTCCCTTGCTCATAGCTTGACAAGATTTTGGTATGCAAAGGTGGGAGGGGTGGTATCTAGGCAACCGAGATGTCTTTGAGAGCTTTATGCTGATAACACCAAGGTCACTAATGCAGGTGCTCGATGGAAAAGTAGTCTTTTCTCATAACAAGAAGTATTACTATTGGACAATGTGAAAACCCGGTGGGTGGGGGCAAGGGAATCTATAATTTAATTAAGTAAGCTTTTGAGCAGGAAAACAGAGCTGGTTTCACTTCTTCTGTACCAATGTAAATTTTCAGTAAAGTATTATACTTTACCTCAGTAAAGTAAAATCATGTCCCAGGAGTTTCTTTTTCTGGAAATACCAACTAGACAGTTGACACACTCAGTATACATTATTTTGTTGCCCCATCCCTTTTTTTAAATTTTTTTTTTCATCAACATATGTTAATTTTTCCAATCAACAAGTTGTCTGGAGTTGCTATGCTAATACATATTCAATTCCTAATCCTTCATTCTTTTCTCTAACCAAGAATAAAATAAATTCCAAATTTGATAGTAGTCTGTATCTTCTTTATCTTTCAATCTCATAGTTAATCTGTCCATCTCTGCACATTCCAATATATTCCTGATTATTTCTTCCTCCGATGGCAGTCCTTCATTCTTCCAGTATTGTGCAAAAATTATTCTCGCTGCTGTAGTGATGTGTAAAATTAAATATAATTTCTGCTTATTAGTCTTTTCAGGCATAATGCCTAGTAAAAAAAGTTCAGTTTTTAAATCCATTTGTTCGCCCAATATTTTTTCTAACCACATATGTATATTTTTCCAATAGGCCTTTGCCTTACCACATGTCCACCAAATGTGGTAGTATGTGCCTATGTTATGTTTACATTTCCAACATCTATCTGACATATTTTTAATCATTTTTGCTAACCTTGCTGGTGGAAGGTGCCATCTATAAAACATTTTATACAGATTTTCTTTGTATGAAGTTGACAATGTTAATTTATGCCCCATCCCTTTTTTACATGCACTGTTACAGATACAACATATGTCAAAAACAATCAAAAATTCAGTGTTATGACCTTAGCAATTATCTTGACTTTTTTTGCTCATTTTTATGTGGAAAACCATGCATCATATATAATTTTCCTATTAAGCATCATTGTTGTCTTTAGGATACAGTCGAATGATCACTATTTCTTTCTTGTATTTACTGATCTATTTCTTCTTTTGGGTTGTACTGAAAATGGCACTGAATTGTTATTCTTGCCTCTGTTTCCTCTACTATTTTTTGATGTCTTCCCCATTACCAACATTTAAAATTCAAGTTCCTTAAGGTTTCTCCTGATTTATGTTTATTCATGTTATTCTTCAAAAGTGTTACTATATGTTGACTATAATATTTATTAGTGACCTCAAAAAAAATCATAACATGACTTATAAAGTCCTCCATTGTGTTTGGAAGAATAATTTCTTTCCTCACCCCACAACATATCATTTCTCCCAAAGTGATTGAATTCAGCTCCATTATAAACTTTTAACACTATACTCCAGACAGATAAACTTTGAACTATATTTTGGTAAAAAATAATTCAATATGTAAGAAATTCCCTTACAAAAGATAAAATACAACTTCTAGGTTTTCCGATCAAATCTAAAACAAACATTTCTGTAACCAAGTAACTTCCTACAAAGTAGGAAAGTTCAAAATCACATGAAGAAATACTTTGTAATCTAAAAAAAAAAAAGAGTTGCTATTCTTACCTGAAGATATCTTGATTTTATTCTTCTTCACTCCAGTAACATTGATATGGACATTGACTTTTCCCTCAGTCAAGTCAATCTGTATGCTACCCAATCCTTCAGCAAAATTGCTGAACAACAAAACTCCATTTGGATTCCATGTCCGAAATTGAAAGCTGACTGAGAATAATTCACGATTTGGATGGCCAGGCACTTCCAGGAAACTAGTAGCATTGAAAAATACTGGCACTGTTTGAGGCTCCACACAGGAAAAGCTTAAATTCCCCTATGTAAAAACAAAATGAAAAACACACACTTGTAAACCAAAATCCAATATCTTTCAACTGTGCTTACAAAAATAATGTCCTCATAGCTTTGCTAATAAAATAATTTGTATTGATCCAGTGAAATATAGAAATTTCAAAGGTATTAATTTATGGAAAATATGTAATAATCAAATAATAATGACAAGTATTATTCTCCCAAACTATTTTGACAATCCTTGGAATTACTAAATATTCTGAAATATCCAAGTATGCTACTGTACCTGGAAAGCAAAATGGAAACACAGATGTAATAAATATTTAATATTGTTCTTAGATATTTAATTTTTTTAAAAAGCACTTGCAACAACCTTGTTCAATTATTTTTAGTTTTGTAATACAAATGTGGAGACAGAGGCACAGAGCATCTTGCCCTGACAGTCTAGAATGTGTATCAAAGTGTCAGAATCCAATTATATTTCATTTCTAGCTACCTACTCTGATAAAAACCCATTTCTTACTCTCTCTGGATTCTGTCATACTACGAAAGGGGAGGAGGATAAGCAAGGGGGTTTTATGACTCTCACTTCCTTCATTAAACTACAAAGTGACTGGATGTTGATTCTCATCAAGAGGACTGACCATAACAATATGGCCATCGCCTTTCATCTACTCTCTCTGATTTTTGCCAGCAGTGAGGGAAAAGGAGGGAACAATGCAACGCCTGGGATCTGGGAAAAGAGAGGATGAGTGATTGTCACCCGGAAGAACTGTGGGGTGGGGGCTGCTTGGGAACACTTTAAAACATTGAAGGATGGGAGAGAATTCCCCAGATCCTGTCTAGCATGACTACAATTATTTTCTCTTAATAAAGATGCCTGTTGGAAGAGACATTCCAAGAGTTCTGTCTTCTTAAGATGTAAAGTGAGATGGGTCCTTACACAAAGTTTATACTCAGACTTCTGGCTAGTTGTTGTTGTGTTGCTATGTGCAAAGACATTAACAGTTGTATTTGGAAATCCTATAATATTTTAATCTTCTTATTTATGACTATGATATCACAGCTGGCAGTTTTTTAGGTGTTGTTGGCCATCATAGGCATTAAGCTCTTCGCAAGAACCTAAGATGTCATAATGTATCAACATAGATCCAAGTGGTGTCACATTGTTCAGTTGACAGAAATTTTATTGATGTGTAAATTTTGTAAGTGCCACCCAAGATTTTTTTGTTAATGGACTATCATGGCGATTTATGCCATAATCTTTTAATTTTTCAATTCTTTCAATTTGCAACATACTTTTTCAACCACAGAGCCTGTTAGGTCTCATGGTTAAGGCACCAAGCTAGAAACCAGGAGACTGTGAGTTTTAATCTTGCCTTAGTCGTGAAAGACAGCTCGGTGATTTTGGACCAGTCTTTCTCTCTCAGCCCAATTCACTTCATAGTGTTGTTGTGGGGAAAATTGGAGGAGGAGTGAATATTATGGTTTGCTGCTTTCAGTTATTTATAAAAACAATAATGGCAGAATATTAAATAGAAAAATAAAATAAATAAATACATTTTGATTTTTAGACCTTGATACTGTGTAATCTTCTCCAATTCTTTTCCTGAATGCCTGGAAAGCATTCAAGGATGCCACTGAGGATTTTCTTAGCAATTACAGAACACCAAACTACATTCAGGTAGTTGACAAACTTCTTATAGGTAACAAACCATGCAACATTTCATGGAAGATTCATTTTCTGCATTCACACTTGGACTTCCTTCCAAAAATATAGGTGCAATGATAAACATGATGAAAAGTTTCCACCAGGACATTGCCACAATGGAATAATCATTACTAGCTGACTATTTTTGGACACTGCAGTGAAATTCATTGTACATTATGTACAAATAAAAATCAGCAGCAAAACACTTTTAGTCCTGTTGAACTCATGCAGCATGTGAGAATCATTATGCAGTTAATAATAATAATAATAATAATAATAATAATAATAATAATAATAATAATAATAATAATAATAATAATAATACCCCAGTGAGGCACTACCTTGACATGGTTGTGGGACTTGTGTATTCTGAGGAAGATAAGAGCTATGCCAGAGGTTCAACCATACTGGATAGGTCTTATCAGAGGAGTCAGACAAAGAGTGTCTCTCCCATAAAAAATATGGTGAGACGTAAATTTCAGAATGCCATACTGGCTCGGATGTCGCCCGAGTTAACAAGGTCCGCACTAGATGTTGGAGTTCCTGGATATCTGGTGAAAAATGGGTTACAGGACTCAGGACTGTTGGCTGAGCAACCAGGGCCAGCAGCTGCAGAACTACTGGAAGAAAAGGTGTTTACCTGTCACAAATACACAGTAATTGAAAACAAAGAAATAATGATCTGTTGTTATAGATCAAGTCCAACAAGAAGAGGATATCTAAAATGAATGCACCAGTTCTGGAAAGAACAACATCCAGAATCAGAAATAACAGAACAGAGACTAGCAGATCAACGCCGATTTATAATATGAAATAAAGTATTCACAGAAACAGAATTGGACGAACGGCAAAGATTTACCCAGAGCAAAGAAATCAAAGCCTTGCCAGAAGTAATTCAGAATGTAGAGGCAAACCAGGGGGAGTTGGCAGTGAAGGAATCCAGCAGAGATATACAACTGTTCTCATTTGGAAACCAGGCACTTCTTCCTCAGGAAAAACTAACTAAAGAAATAAAAGAATTGAAACAAAGAATAACATCTAGAACAGAACAAAAACAACAGAATAAGGCTGCCTGCATTGAAGCTTGTTCGAAAGAAACAGCTAGCACAAGCATTAAAAGATGCAAATACTGCAATATCAAGTATAAACACCAATTCACTGCAAGAAACAAACCAACTAATGTACAGCACAGCTGCAGTTATAACTGAATACCTGGGATGCAAAATCAACAAAGAAGAAAAACAAACAATGCACCACAAAAATGGAAGGTTTGGCTAGAAAATAAGATCAGCAAATTAAGATCATATACAAGCAAGCTAGAACAGATGAAAGAAAAGAAGCGGAAGAACAAGAAGACCAAAGAATACCTAATCAAGAAATACCACTTAGAAACAAGGAAGATCAAGGAAGCACTGGAAATAATAAAGCAGCAAATAATAGCTATAGCCAGGAAAATCAGAAGATACGAAGCTCGAATCGCAAATTATAGGCAGAACCTCCAATTTCAATCCAATCAGAAATGTTTTTATCAATCCACCAATGGAGAAACTGCAATGAATCAGTCAGTACCTGACAAGGAAGAAACAGTGCAGTTCTGGAAGCAGATATGGGATAACCCAAAGAAATGCAACAAGGATGTGGCTTGGTTAAAAGAGGTGGATGCAAATAAAACAGAAATTGAAATGAAAGAACTAGTAATAACAACAAAAATGGTAGAAAAAAGAGCAAGGAAAATCAAAAATTGGTCAGCACCAGGTGAAGATGAACTGCATGGGTTTTGGTTGAAACATCTAACTGTTATACACCCAGTCATTGCCAAGCAGTTCAACAATATACTACAAGGAGGAGAAATTGAAAAGTGGCTAACAACTGGGAAAACCTACCTAATAATGAAAAATCCAGCAAAAGGGGCAACTACAAGCCAATTACCTGCTTACCAACAACTTTCAAATTGCTAACTGGTGTGGTAGCTGATGCAGTACAACAGCATCTAGTTGAAAACAATCTCTTTCCACCTGAGCAGAAAGGAAACTGCCCCAATAGCAGAGGAACAAAAGATCAACTCCTAATAGACAAAATGATCTTGGAAAACTGCAAGAAAAGGAAGACCAGCCTGAATGTGGCATGGATTGACTACAAAAAGGCATTTGACTCTTTGCCACATTACTGGATAATCAAGTGCCTAGAAATAACAGGAGTCAGTAGAAACATCAGAAAATGTGTGCAAAGATCAATGGCACAATGGAAGACACAGTTGCAGGTCAATGGTGAGAGACATCAAGAGAAGAATATTTCAAGGAGATTCATTATCACTATTACTATTTGTTATTGCACTGTTTCCTCTGTCAACAATACTGAATAACTCAGAACATGGCTATCAAACATCAAAAACATTTGCCAGACTATCCCACCTCCTTTACATGGCTGATCTGAAGCTGTATGGAAAAACATCATCTGAAATAGAATCCCTGCTCAACACTGTCCGTATATATAGCCAAGATATTACAATGGAGTTTGGCTTGGACAAATGTGCCACACTTACTATCAAACAAGGAAAAATAGTGAAAACTGAAGGAATCAAGATGCCCCACAAAAATAACATTAAGAGTCTGGATGAGGAAGATTACTACAAATATTTGGGTATCCTTTAAGCTGACAACATCAAACACACAGAAGTCAAGAAAAAGATTAGAGGTGCATACATCAAGAGAGTGAAGAAGATCTTAAAATCCAAACTCAATGGAGGAAATACCATAAAGGCAATCAACACCTGGGCAATTCCAGTCATTAGATACACAGCTGGAATAGTGGACTGGACTCAAGCAGAACTAAAATCAATGGATAGGAAGACCACAAAAATAATGACAATGAATCATGCCCTTCATCCACCTAGTGACATGCACTGAAATTAGTATATCAGAAAGGCTTACTGACTACTGGAGAGACCAAGCTGGCCTACAAGAAAGACCAAATTTAGAACAGAATGGAGGCATGGGAAGACAAAGCACTACATGGCCAGTACATTAAAAAAAAATAGCTGGGAAAGCAGATAAAAACAAGAGTGGGCAATGGCTAAGAGCAGGAAAATTGAAGAAAGAGACCAAGAGACTAATTCTGGCTGCACAAAACCAAGCCTTAAGGACAAAATGCCAAATCCAGTCTGAACATCTGGCTGATTGTGCGATGATTCAATAATAATAATAATAATAATAATAATAATAATAATAATAATAATAATAATAATAATAATAATAATAATAATAATAATAATAATAAAGTTGGAACGGACCTTGGAGGTCATCTAGTCCAACCCC